CTTGCGAGGGTTTCTTGCGGCCGCGTCCGCACTGTAGCCTACACCACATAGTTTACACCACATAGCTTGCACCGCGTGCACTGCACAGCACGGAACACATGAAACAGCTTGCACCACGTAGCCGGCACGTTCAAGTCTTGCCGCGTGGCTTGCGCGACACAACTTGCACCGCGCAATTTCCACCTTCACGGCTTACACAGCGCAGCTTGCACGACATAGGTTTCACCCCACAGCTCACACCGCATAACATTCCTCTCGAGGGTGCAATGACGCACTGTTTGGGGTCCACGCTCGCTAACATACTCCAACAATCGGGACTCCGCCTGCTACGACTAGGGCCAAGCTTTCGCTTTCGTGATGGGGACCAGCAGCATCGGAGATAGCGACTAGCAAAGCTGAGTTGATCCCTGATGTCAAACTTGTGATGAACATGTCGTGGGCACTCATACCAACGTGTACTGCAATGTGCATCACCTGCTGATGGATCTCGCGCAGGTAATGACAGCTACTGCGCTCCCCCCGCTCATGGCCTCGTGCGGGGCTAAAACATGCGTGCAGTGCACCTGCTAGCGCATTAGATCACATCAGAAACCCATTGGGGGGTCCTCCTCCTCCTCCTCCTCCTCCTCCTCCTCCTCCTCCTCCTCCTCCTCCTCCTCCTCCTCCTACTACTAATCCTACGCCTGCCCCTAGAATCGGGCCACACCCGAGCGTAACTGTACGATGCGTGGCTCGTGCACCGTCGCGGCTCGCGTCGCGCCGACGGGGGCGTCCCTGCTGCCGCGATGCCCCCACAAAGTCTGAGAGCCGCGCTCGTGTCGGACTCGCCCGCGCATGGCAACGAGCATCTGCACATGGTTTTCGCCTCTCTCACACACGCACACACATTCGATGTGTGTTGTGCCGCGCCGTGCCGTGATAACTGGCAACAAACACATCCTGCATTGGTGTGAGATATATATATATATACAAAAAACAAAAAAGTCACCACACAACAAACAATACGAACCCGCGTCAAACTGGCACAGTGGTCTACACGCGTGCTGTAGAGGGGAAGTACATGTGGACACAAGCAGACAGACATCGGAACAACCAAACGAGCACATACTTGACCAGAAGGCACAGCGAGTCCACCGGGAGGGGCAAGGGGCGGCCAGCGAGGGAGGGGCGGGGCGACGGGGCATGGCCTGCAGGGCCTCCCGCATGCGCTTGGTGGTGGAGGCGATGAAGGAGAGCTGCAGGAAGAAATGCTCGAACTGCTCCTGCAACCAGGATTAGAAGAAGAAAAACCGCCAGTAACATCAACTTTTGGCGCTCCGCGCGGATTTCTTGGATCTGCGCTGGACGGCATCGAGCACCGAGCTGCCCGACAGAGTCGTGGAGGGAAGCGACTGGCCCGCTCTGCTGCGCCGCTCGGCTGGGAAGCTCTGGCCACTGGCCTGCCCGGGGGGGCAGCGATGAGGGCGAGGGAAGGAGGGAGAAGGAGGGAGGAGAGGAGGAAGGAGAACGAGTAGGAGGAGGAGGAGGAGGAGGAGGAGGAGGAGGAGAGGAGAAGGGGAGGAGAAGGAGGAGGAGGGGGGGAGGAGCGGAGGCACAGAGGCAGGAAGAGGGGGGGGAGAGGGGCGGGGAAGGGGCCTCGGGCCCCGCCGCCCGCCCCCCCTCCAACAGAGATCGTGGGGCAGCTGGCTCCTCGGAGCTCGGGCCCCGCGGGGGCCCTGCACCAGGGCCCTGGGGGACCCACTACTGTGGACGAGGGAGGAGGAGGAGGAGGAGGAGGAGGAGGAGGAGGAGGAGGAGGAGAGGAGAGGAGGAGGAGGAGGAGGAGGAGGAGGAGGAGGAGGAGGAGGAGGAGGAGGAGGAGGAGGAGGGGAGGAGGAGGAGGAGGAGGAGGAGGAGGAGGGACGAGGAGGAGGAGGAGGAGGAGGAGGAGGAGGGGCGGCACCCAGTGGCAGGCTCCGACGGTAGGACCCCGCGTGGGGACCGCACTCGTCTGCCTGCAGGGAGCGCGCGTCGTCGTCCCCGTCGGAGACCCACTACTGTGGACGAGGGAGGGGAAGGAGCAATGACGTAAGCATAAAAACTCGGAGGTCCGCGCGGCGCCTCACTCCGCAGGACCCACCAGCAGCCCTCGAAAGCGGCGACGGTTTCGCAGATCGCAGCCCCCCAGGGACGGCGACCACAGGGGGGGGCGGGAGAAGGACGCGACCACACCCCTCTATTCAAAACGAATAACCAAAGAGGTTTGGGAATAAAAACTCGGAGGTCCGCGCGAATTTCTCGACCCCCCCTCCCGGGCGCGCGGAGCGCGCCCTGGGCGGCGCCGGAGGCGCCGCCAGGGGGCCCCCGCGCAGATCCGAGAAAGCCGCGCGGATCTCCGAGTTTTTATGTGTATGTCACTCTTCGTTTGTATGTTTATGTTTATGTTTATGTGTATGCTTATGTGTATGTCATGTGTATGGTTATGTTTATGTGTATGTCCGAGTTTGTATGTTTATGTTTATGTTTATGGTGTGGGAAGAGCTACTGATAGAAAGAGTACCCCCGCCAGCCCTCTGACCAACCCTGCTGCCAACCCCAGACACCCCCAGACAACTCCCCCCGGGCCAACCCTGGATAGGGTACTCCGGATTCCACCAAAAGGAAATCTACAGTCAAAGGGGGGGGGTCTGATTTTGGAGGTCTGCTTTGAGCGGTCTTGGAGGGATCTGGGTGGTCTAAGCAAAGGGCCGCCCTTTAATGGCTGGTCTGGCGGGGGTCTAAGATTACTTGTCTGGGAGGGTTGTGACCTCCCCTCCGTTGGTTACGAAAGCCCAGATGACTTCATTTCATTCTGAGATTCGGAGTGGTACCTTCCATGAGATATGATAGCATGGGGGGGGTAGCGAACCAGCTGTCAGCGCCCCTCTAACGGGGACTCCACTAACGGGTACTTTGGCCAGTGACCCTGCGAACCTAACCCTCCCCGGTGTGGGCAACGCTGCAATGCCACAAAGAGGCCCTAAAGCGGCAACTTTCGGCAATTTTCCAAAGTACCCGTTAGTGAGTACCCGTTACGGCGCCGCTGAAGCTGCACGCAGCTGCTTTTCCCGGCGCCCGGAGGCGCAAGGAGCGATCGTGCATCGAGGAGGGAGCCCCGCGTGGGGGCCGAGACTGGCCGTGTGCGGCTGACACGGGGGGCGAGGGCAGAGGGGGCCGTTTCTCTCGGGAGGCCCAGGCGGCCGTCCGCCTTTGGTGAGAAGCGTCTACGAGCCTTCGGAGGGCTGCACAAGTCCAGAGGGCCTCCGAGCACACCCGCGGAGGAAGCTCATGCACATGGCTCTGTTTGTGTCTCCATTGGTGCGTGTGTGTGCTTCCACTGTGCTGTTGTTCCGTTGTTGTCGTTGGTGCTTCCCCGCTGTATGTATGTATATGCGTGTATATGTGTACGTGTACGTGTACGTGTACGTGTATGTGTATGTGTATGTGTATGTGTATGTGAATGTGTATGTTTATGTGTATGTGTAAGTGTAGGTGTGCATGTGCATACATGTGTATATGTGTATGTTTACGTGTGTATGTGTGTGTATAAAATCTAAAAGCGTAAGGGGTCTCGTGACCCGCAAAGTGCACTCATTTGTCTTCTGGCCGTTTCGGGCCCCGCGGAAGGCGCAAAGGGAGCCGAGAGACGTCCAAGAGGGCGCAGATGGCCCAAGAGCGCTCCAAGAGCGCTCCAAGAGAGCCCAAGAACGCACAAGAGCGTTTCAAAACTGGTCCAACATGGCTTGAAGACAGGCCAGGAGGGCTTCAAGACGGCCAAGATGCCTTCAAAAGGACTCCCACGAGGCACTCAGGAGGCGGAACAAGTAGATCTTTCGATTGTGCTTGAAGGTTTTTCGTGTTCTCGCTGTTTCGTGCTTCCGACGGTCCAAGACAGCCAACGAGGCCCCAGAAGTCAGGTCAAGACGGCCTAATGGCACCCAAAGAGGCCGCCACGACGGCGCAGGAGGGGTCCCAAGATGGCCCAAGAGTGCCCCAAGGCGGCCCAAGAAGCGCCCAAGATCGCCCAAGAGGGCTCCAAGACGGCCTGAAGAGGGGTCCAAGAGGGGGAACACGAACCGACAGTTCGAGCCTTCCGCCCCAAGAGGCCTCCAGGAGGCCCCAAGAGGCCCCCAACAGAGCCCAACCGGCCGCCCCCCCTTGGTTCAGGGAGGGTGCGAAATCTGCTGCGCGCAGCCGGCTCGTCCTGGCGAGAGCGCCCGCCATCAAGGAATGAGCCCAGCGTTGGGCGGAAACCGTCTGCACGCCGCAGATGTCGCCCCTCCCCGCCCCCGCTTTGCCACCCGACACCCCCGCCTCTCATCCTGGGGGGGGGGGCTCGAAGTACACACCAGGTCATCTCGGCGGCCAGGGAGCTCGGTGCACAGACGGGCCGAGCAGAGGCCAGGAGAGCGGAGACACCGAAACACTTCGCCGAATTCCCCTGTCCCCTCGGCCGACCAGACGGCGCGGAACCCACGGAGGAGGGCCAGCCGAGAGAACGGCGGCCCTCCCGCTATGCTGAGGGGCAACGACCGGGGGGGATAGGCATAGGGGGGGAAACATCGACCTCAAATGGGCGATACATCGCCGACAGGTCGGCGATAGGCCCCCGACACTGAACCCGCACGTTCCTGGGCAGGTTGGGGCTATCGGGCCCATATCGGCGATCAGTGGGTCATTGGGGGTCGATGCATCCCCCCATAAGCCTATCCGCCCCCCTCCTCATCCCCCTCTTCCACCTCCTCATCCTTCTTCCTCCCCCTCCTCCTCCTCCTCCTCCTCCTCCTCCTCCTCCTCCTCCTCCTCCTCCGCCTCCTCCTCCTGCTCCTCCTCCTCCTCCTCCTCTCCTCCTCCTCCTCCTCCTCCGCCTCCTCCTCCTCCTCCTCCTCCTTCCTCCTCCTCCTCCTCCGCCTCCTCCTCCTCCTCCTCCTCCTCCGTGGCTGCCCCTGATCTGCCCACCATCCGCTCAAGATCGGCCCCAG